TGTTATGTCTGGGTTGGTAGTGACTCAGAGTCATAATCTTCATGCAGGTCTTCCTCTACCCAAGTGAAACGGACCAGCGATGTCTCTCCATTTCTTAGTGGTCAGGAGGTTGTAAAGCCTTACGCTGTGACTTTTCACAGACTTACAGTTAAATGAAAAAGGTGACCGAGTCACGTTATCCTTCCTGGAGCTGGCAATTTCAAAGCAGTATTGTGAGTCAGAGCAGTGGGAGCAGTGCAGAGGACTCCTGCATCCTGCTGCACTGACTCACTGGGGGCTTTCACTTTCCACTTCAGTCAGGAAGCCAACATCTTCTAAGACAATTAAACTAATCCTAAGGGGACATAGAGAAACTTCTTAAGCTCTGATCTCTACCTAACCAGTTATGAAGTTATGAGGAGTGAATCCTAACACACATAGATGGCAATCTGTATATCATGTCAATCAGCTTTCATTTATGTTTTGGTTTTGTTCCCGACTTCTAGGAGGGATAAACTCCTGAAATATGACACAAAATATTTTAATGCCAGTTTGTACAGCTTAGCTGTGTACTGCTCTGTGATAAGCTTTTCTGCATAAATGCGATTCCATACTAATACATCTGCACACTACAATGCCATCATTGTCGGGTTTTTTTGTGTTTTTTTTTGAAGCAAAAATCTATGCAGTTAGTGGTTCGCTTGTTAGATTATTGTAGTAGTTTTAATTGATGAGAAGGCCAGTTGGTTTGACTAGGATAAACTATGTTAGCTGCTCAAAAGTAGTTTTTACCATAGTTAGATTTCACCATAAGTAGTACTTTCATTATCTAAAGTCAAAACTAAAATGCATAATTTGTGACCAACCCCTCCATGGTTTGGTGCAAGTCACTTTACTCTCCACTATCTCTATTTCTCAAGATTCAAAAAAGGAGGAAAAAAGAGGAATGATGCCTGTCTTACCAAGTAGCTTTGTTGATTTGTATACTAAAGCAGTCACATGGAAGAAAGAAAGGAAGGAAGGAAGGAAGGAAGGAAGGAAGGAAGGAAGGAAGGAAGGAAGGAAGGAAGGAAGGAGTTAAAAAGCAATGAACAAAATGTGTATCACTCTACCATTAACTAGTGTTAGTTCAAAAATTCCTGCTAAGATCCTCTTGTTCCAAGACAATTTGAAATCTATGTGGGTGTGTATGTATTTTTAAGTTCATCAGTAAAGAACTTAGGAATGGTCTTTAAAGCACAATTGAATTACAGAAATTGTTTAGGCTGTGGATGTGGGTCTTCCTTCACGTTGTCTTCAGAAATTTCTTTAAGTATTGTTCTGTCCTCCAACGCTAAGCATTCCTTGGATATTTACCATCTAGGAAAATTCTAATAGAATCTATGACATTCCTACCCCAACTGAGGTATTCAATTCAATCTGTGACTTACAATGAGGTGCTTTGACGTATTCCAGAGATTTTTTTAAAAAAAGCCCTATCTGAAATCTTGCCTGCCTAGATGTGATGTCTAATAATCTGAAAGAATACCAAGGCCACTTTCAGATGCTAACAAATATCCAGAGGCAAGAACAGATCTGCCTGAGCTTCAAGGGTTAGTTTACCTTCCTTGCACACACCAGGATTTAAAAACTGCCCTGTGAAGCTCTTAATGATTTGAGAGAAACTTGCTTCTTTAATGTAATACAATTTTATATTTGTAGTATTACCATAGTAAAAATTTAAAATGAAATGAAATGGAATACAAATAACACTAGATTTTCTTCAATATCCTGAATCATGAATAGAAGCATGTCTAGACTCAAAGGCAAACCACATTTTAAAGCACAATTCAAATCCTTTTCCACTCCCTGCCAAGTGCTGAGTTTGGTCCCTGCGGGTCTGAGCAGGGTTTCCTCAGCTACAGCAGCTGGCACGGAGCTGGCTGGTTCCGTCAGCCTGCACAGGTCTTGACAGGTGCCAAGCCTTTCACTTCACTTTCAAGGACCACAAAGCCCTTTGTGCATGATTTAGGAGACTGGGAACTAGGTTTTTGATCCAGAAAGGGAAAATGAGATGTTTTCCGGATTTTAATCCTCTAGATCTGTTAGTAGTGCTTCAGTGAGTTTCTTCTAAATACAATAATAACATTTGCTCTGAAAAGAGTTCTTGGTGCATGATGAATTTGCCAGACATTTTACTTTGAGACCAATCTGACAAATGTTCTTTCTAGCATTTTCGTGTTGATTTATTCTCCCTCACAAAGGACAACTTCATAAAGAACTTGAATCAGATCCATGTTCACACTTTACATATGCAACATTTTTGTGGCTGACAAAGTTGGCTCCTCATGCAAACTAACTTGGAATTAAAGTCAAATCAGAGAAGGGCATGCTGAGACCGCTATACTTCAGTAGCTATTTTTTTTCCAGCTAGTCATCATTATTATGACTAGATATTTACCCTTAGGTGCATTGAGCAGATCATTCTGACTCATCCTCTTGGTGGATGCTGTCCTGTTAGGTTAATTGTTATCTTTCTGTCTGAAAGATTTTTTAATTCCTATAACTGCATGGGATAGCTATTTTACTACTTAACCAAGTGACCTCAGTGCTGACATAACCTTTCTGGTATTGTTAGTCGTAACTTGTGTCATGACCTTTATGTGAATTATGCCTGTCTTGAGGATACAAACCTTCACATAGCACAGATGGTCTGTTGGAAAAAAATGATAATGAAGGTCTGCACATCGCACCTTGTCTTCCCTTCCCAGATTACTTCCTTTACCATTGCCTCATTGTCTTAGGCACCTTTTGATCAAGGACCTAAGGCATCATTTATCATACAGAGAGTGCTCTAATGTAAAAGACTATAATATTGGATTCTGGAAAATGCTTTTGCTACCAGAACTATCCCTGCATCTTGTTGGCTTCTTCCAAACTTGCTTAGTTCTCCATTACGCAGTGTATCACCATTACTTCCAGAGAGTAGATTTTTTTTACTACATCTTTGAAAGAATGATGAAAGCTGTGTAAGCTCATTAACAGAGCATGTGTGTAGGCTTAAAATTACAGATAATAGACAAGTGGTTGGAAAGTCAGTAATTCCTTTACATATTTGCCAAGACTTAGGTCAAGGTTTAGGGGTACCTTTGCCCAGTCTGGTGAAATCAGAAGCAGCTCCAGGTGTTTTAGGGAGTGCTGGCAGTGCACATGCAACACAAATGAAGGAGGCACAATTGATCTCAGGTGTTTTCTGCAAGAACAAACCATATCCAGTCTAAACTGCACTCCTTTTTAATGTTGTTTTTTTGTTGTTGTTATTGTTTGCTCTTTTTTTTTTTTTTTTTTGCATTTTGTTTTTTTTTTATTTGTTTGGGAGGTTTTTTTGTTTGTTTTTTGCATTTTGTATAAGCTAATCCCATTTTGTTTAACATTTCTTGTTTTCTATCACTCCAAGAATCTATTATTTCTAAAATTACTGTCAATTAATTCAAGTGAATGTTGATACAACAACTCTGGCTTTTCAAATCCATGAAATAAATTGTTAAATTATAAGAATGTGTCTGTGTGTTTAAGAGTAATCCTCACAAATGATTTGATGCCTTTCTAATCCAAAGCTCAGTCCTTGTATGTCACATCTGTTTTTGTGTAATTGTTTAAAAAACTGATATATACATTATTAACTTGGAATATAATAAGATATTTTACATAAAAATTCAGCAAAACGGTGATTTTTATCTCAGTATTCTTTGGCTTTTCTTCTTGTGCATGGTGGTAAAGAGTCACATACTTAACATTCAGATCCTTGAACTTTGGTTAAGGAAGGGATGTGAGAGTGGGGTGCATCTGTATGTCTGCACCCCATAGGACTTGTGATGCGGAAGCAGCATTAGAAGCAAAACCTTCCCTCACACTTGTGTTCACCATGTTTCTAATGTGAAAGACAGGCACCACAGGAAAAGTTGGTTGTGTTGTCTTGACAAACAATTCCTTTGCTGGCTCAGCCTGTAATAAGTAAGTGGAGGTATGTGAAATGATAAGTGTGTGTTATGGGCATGTTGCCACCACCACCACCTGGAGCAAGACCACTGGCTGACTGTGTGTGAACTGCCCCCAGCAATGTGACAGCCTGGCCACCACACTGCTCATGGTCAGTGTATATTACTCTTAACAAACTAGTTTTTATGTCTTAGAGTATATCTATCTTAAGGAGGTTTTCAAAGTACTGTTTTAAAATGAAACAATGTATTTTCCTCTTTAAAATCTCTCAGCATCATTTCTTACTCAGGTATTTTGTGCTCTGACGGTTATTTACAGTGCAAATTGTTTTGAATAATTATGCTCTGTATCTACAAATGTGTGGCACCCTTGCTACTCCATGTTAGAGAAAGAAACAGTAAATGGTGCAGCATGTATGGGCAGCAGTGATTTGTCTTCTTGACATTGACCTAATTTTACAAATTTCAGGGAGTAGAATTTGAATGAGCTCTGTCCTGTACTCCAAACATCTTTTCTAGACCAAATGACACCCCCTCAACCAGAAACAGCATAGCCTGTGAATATGATGTACACAAGGAACAGTCCCAAAACAGTGCCTATTTAAGATTTCAAAGCACAGCAATTATAGCTGAAGTCACATTTGGTAGATAAGCATTTATGCATCTGGCAGTGGAATTCAGTCCCAAATAAGCAATGTTATGAAATAATGTAGCATTGGGTTTAAGAGATTTACTGTGTAACAGAGTCCATCCATATCTTATAATACAATGTGTTTTCTTTAGTGTTTATTTGGATTTTCACTTGGATACTGAAGTAATACATACATAAACAGCTTTTGAAGGCCTACAGAGTGGGAGCCTGAAGTGAGCCTTAAAGAGAAACCAAAAATATCCTCTTTTCAAATTCAGCTATATTGTGTCACAGAACAAATTTTCTAATAGAGGCATAGTGACTGACATGAAATTGTCTATGTAATTATTTCAAAGTGTAACAGCAAATTTAATATAATCTTTTTTTTCCACCCTTTTTCTTTTATTGATCAGTTAATTCAGGCGATGGGATAGACTACAGCCAGCAGAAGCGTGAAAATATTGGAGATCTAATTCAAGAGACACTGGAAGCCTTTGAGCGCTACGGTGGAGAAACTGCTTATATAAACATTAAATACATGATCCCTACTTACCAGTCGTGCATATTAAACTGAGTGGTATCAAATGGGATGATTCCATTTGTGTTTAAAAATAACCAAAAACCTGTGTCTGACTCTGTGTGGCATCTTATTAGTCATGCTTTTTTTTCTGTACAGCTGCTAAAATAGTGGCTTCTGGGGCATTAGAGTGTTAGTACTATTGTGAACAAGTCCTTCCAACACATAAATAGTGCCTGTTCCTTTGATTACAATGGTGTACTGTGCTTGTTTGTTCCGTGAAAGAATTGCTCCTTTATAGCAAAGCTGACTCGAGCAGGAATCAGAGTTAAACCTTCAGTTGTGTAGACAATAAAACTATAATTTTCATATGCAATTCAGCAATCGCTGTTCTGTGTCCGCTTGCCCTGAGGGTGATGTCAGACGCTGTAACAAGAAGAGTTTATGCTGACTGCTTAATAGGTGTTTGTCATGGAAGAGAAACACCAGTTCAGCAGTGTCTCTGTAGCAGCTGTGCCAAATAATGTGCACCAACATACAATAAAACAGTTGAATGTATATACCCATTATAGTAGGAAAATCTATATGGCCCATTATAAAGCACTGTCAGAAAATTAATGAATGTCCCTTACACACTCATGGTCTAAGTTTCCAGGTGTTCACCTTGACATGGAGCTTAGGTTCCTTCAGTGAACATCAGGCATGGCCACAATTTTGAATGAAAAACAAAACAAAACAAAACAACAGAACTTAAATAAATCAGAATATACAGTGTACAGAATATTTCAGATCCTACTGGCATTGTTCAGCTGGGTAAATACAGAATACAAACCTATCTTATAGGATGCTGAATATTTATTTTAACTGCAAGGTTGCCATCACTTTCCTGTTATTACTGTAGTATACACATGTATAAGCAATATAACTATTGTCACAGTAATCCTCTACCTTTCCTTCTCGCTTATTTTCTCCCTGTATAGCCACAACACAGAATTGATCATAGCTTTATGATGGCTTTATTTCTTTAGATGCACTTCTATGGGATAAATCTACCAAAAAAAAAAAAAAAAAAAAAGCAAGCTTTAGAATGTTCATGAAAATCATTTAAAATTATCAATTCAGCTCAAAACAAATCAGGAGATATGAACCTTGTCTAAAAAGCATAACATTTCAAAATGTCCAGATTTTGAACTCATTTTGTATTTATTCTGGTTTCTAACTCTTAATATACAACCAGTTGCACTTTCAAGCATTTCTGTGTAATTGCAAGGTCTCAAAATGCACTCTTTACAACTTTATTCCAACTTTTATCCGCTCACATGCACACGCACTGCAAGGACTGCCTGCACCAGAAGCATGGCCCTGTGCTGCCCCGTTCCTTTGGCTGGGCACAGGGCACGGGGGGTGCACCTTCCAACCCACTGAATGCTGACACTAGACCTGCTTTTTAGCTATAAACATTTGTCTTTTCTCTCTTACTTTTCTTCCCTGTGACTGAAGAACAAGTCAGGAAGAAGAGGAGCTGCCACACCCAAGGGTGCCACTGGCCATGGTAGCTCCTCAGCCATGGTTCAGGCCCCACTGCTGCAGTGTACCTGCAGTGTCTCAGGCTCTGGAGACCTTCTTTCTCTGCTTGGTTTTTAGTTATTTCTGTTTTCTTTTACACGTAGCCAGTGTTTCCCCCAGGTCCCTAGGGTTCAGGAAATGCCCGTCCTGTGACTAACAAACACCTGTGACAGACAGGCACAGCAAACACATCCAGGCTTTGGTAAATCTCCCACCTCCCCAGCAGAAAGGAATGGCTGCAGGCCTGCCCTGGGTAACTCAACAGCCTTCTCTTCGAAATTTCAGGGCAGATTCATGCAGGATGCAATAGGGGGCTGAGCACATCTCTCCAAAAATGGTCTGCTATGGAGGCTCTAGGAATATGGCCTTTGCTTACAGTTTCTCCCTCCATCTCCTCTCAGTGGACCCCTGCCCTGGGCACTGCGTCCCGTGCCAGTGAGCCGTTCTGTCTCACATGATTGCATCTATGAGTTTGGCTACCAGGAAATCACAGGTTTCCATCATGAGTACACGGTGTACTGGGAGGCCTGCTGCACAGAGGAAGAGGAGTTATTTTACTCTGAAACAAATCAGGCCCTTCATAAAATGGAAATACAAGTCATCTTTCATTTGTTATCTATTTATACTCTGTCCTGACAAGAAATCCAACCCCACACTAGTGCCTAAGCTCAAAACACCACTCAGCAGCCAATGCAGCTCCTGCCCCACTGGGCTCCTATCACAGAGCCACCAGCAGAGGTGACATCTGGGTGCAGGGTACTGAATCCTGGGACCTCCCCACTGCGCATCCCTATGTCCCAGCTGCACTGCTGAGGAGATGATGAAGTTACAGCTTCATCCTTCTAACTGCACAGCTCTGTTCTTTGACTCATTGACAAGTTTTTGTATTCTCTCTCCTTCTGCACAGCTAGGACAAGACTAATGACTGACAGAGGCTAGAAAATGGGCACCTTGTGCAGCTCCAGCCTTGCCCAGACCTATTCCCTGTACCTCTGATCTCTGTTTGAAGATGTCTTTCACAAGAGTTTGCTTCAACACAAGGTGACCTTACTGCAAACTGTAAGAGCAACAGAGGTCATCCCCATTCACAACAGGGGAAAGGTTTCACAGCCAAGAGCTTTTACTTAACTGCTCAAGATGGCAACTTATTAATCTAAGGAGCTGGACTGATGAAAAGAAACATGAAAACAACACAGGCCAGTAATTTAGGAAGACTGAAAATGAAACTATTTTTGGATATCATTTTACTAAGTCGAACTGTAAGGCTGCTAACCTTGCCAGTGTCCCTTTAAGCATGATCAGCAGCGTATTTATAGGCAATTACAGCACAGCTCAGAGCACTTTATAAAGCACAAGATCAAGGACCCAGGTGCTTAAGCATATGAGTAATATTATGTCATTTGATACGCTGCCTTGCTATTTTACCAAGCTCAAAAAATGGAATTGTAGTTTCAAAATAGTATCTGTCTCTCTTTCCTCCAGCTCTTGTCATTGTGGTCACCAACGCTATGGGCAGCCAATCAACAGTTTCTAATTGAGATCAATTAAAAGGCACTTTGGGCCAGGTTTTTCAGGGGATATAAATTAAGTGTAGCTCCATTAAAGCCAATTTGGCTGTGCAAAACAGAAGTAGCTCATGCCCTAGTATGAGAGCATGAGATCTCCTGCTCTTTTTTAGCTTTCCTGACACATCAATGTAAGTAATATCAAGAAAGGACCCTGTGGACAGTGGAGTGTTAAAAAAAAAAAATCACGTGCTGGTTTTCCGAAATCAGTGTTTGAGGTAGGTCTGGATTATCTGGCAGTTACTGGGAAAGCCTGGCATCTTATGAGTGCTGGTGGGCACTGTAAAACAGCAAGCTGTTTGGTGAGTGTAGCTTGAAGCTGAGCATGGGTGGGGGGATCCAGCCCCCTCCCAGCACTGCAGGGCTGCCCTGGGTTGCTGGGGCCTGGCCCATCCACTGCCAGTGCTGGCAGCAGGGCACTGGAGCCAGGCTGCTGGCTGGTGGCCTTACAGCCTCTCAAAGGGATGGCACTGACAAAAGGAAGCTGGCAACATCCCCCAGGGTGAAGCACAAGGGGCTGTGGGAAGCCCTGTGTGGGGGAAGGCATGGAGGTGCCATGGGGGATGCAGGGAAGCGTAGCTGCAGCCAAGTGGGGCCAAAAAGAGAAGGAAAAAGCTAAAGCACACACTGTGTGCTTTCCTAATCCTGTCTGGAGACCCTCCGACTTCCAAAAAAACTGTTCTCCAGTCTGAGGGGCTCTGCAGGCAGCAGGACAGCCAGCATTTTTCCACTCATCTGTAACATCCTGTATTTTCTGCTGTAAATAAAGGCAGTGATGTCTGCAGGAACTCGATACAAAGCCCGTCTGCTTGAGGTCACTTTGTGCCTCTTGGAGACCGGGGGAGGATGGTTCATGCGCTGGCAGGACGAGACGTTCCCAGCCCTGGCCCTGCGATTCTTCCTGCACACGAGGGGAGGGGATGGGAGCGTGTGTGCCAGGCACACACTAGCTGTAATTGCTCTTGCCTAGCAAACACAGCCTGGGGCTCCTGCTGTGACCCTCTCCAGGCCTCGGTCACACAACTCTGACCCACACAGGCCTGGATCTGCAGGGAGGATGGAGGGAAGGTGAGGGGATTGCTTGGGTGTTCTTGCTGCCAGACCACCCTCCCCCTACACCACAGACCAAAAACTATGGAACAACTTGCGTTAGATTTGGTTTTGTTCTGCATAAAAACATTGAATGTGCTGCAAGCCAACCTGCAGCCTCAGCCTGTTCTGTTGCACAGTGGGAATGTATTGGTTTTGAGTCTAATTTCTCTACCTTTTCTGCCTCCTTGGCTGTCTGCTGTACAGCTTGGTAGAGGTGAACTAAACCAGCATATTCCATGTGGGTGGAGACAAGCAAACCGGTGCTTGTGGTGGCTGCACAAAATACACGTGCAGCTGTGTTTCAGCTACCAGCATACATAAATGTTGTAGCTTTTTGCCTTCTGTTGGACCACTCTGGCCTTACATAAGATCAAATTGTTCCCAGATATAGGTGTAGTGATCAAAGACACAGACAAATTCCTCAGAAATCGTGAGAAAGCTCTAAGAGATCTGCATATCATATCCTATCCCAAAGTGCCCAAAATGGTGTGCTGAGGCCCATGGGGTGTGTGCTGGACAAAGCCAATGGCCGCCACAGAGCAGTCACTTCATGTTGCATGCTGTTTTAGTAATCAAGAATGCGCTCCCTTTAGAAGTGTGGTCCACACAACTCTATCAGCTTTCAATTTCTGTTTTCTGGGTGTAATTCCTAAGCCCTTCCCTAAGGAGCAATCACCTAAAAGCAACTCGGCTTGCCTAACTCCAGACTTAGTGGTGAATTATGTCCTTTCATCTCGCCAGTTCCATCTTGTACATTAGTTCCATTACTTCATTTGTGGATGTTTGTGCTTCTTGCATCTCCTGCATCCCTGTGGTGCTGCTCCAGCTCAACAGAGAAGTGAAGT